TACTTTTCTTTTTTTCTTTTTTCGAGACAGGATTTCTCTGTGCAGCCCTGGCTGTCCTGGAACTCACTTTGTAGACCAGGCTGGCCTCGAACACAGAGATCTGCCTGCCTCTGCCTCCTGAGTGCTGGAATTAAAGGTCTGCACTACCATTGCCCACCATAATTCTGTACTTTTGATTAATGAGTATTTCCAGTAGATTGCATTAATGTTCCAATTATTTACTTCCTCCTTCTGTGTAAGATGATAATATTCCCCTGCTGTATACTCTTGGCAGGTGGCTATACCATTTCAACAAATAAAGAGTAAGCATTGAGTTGCTGCTAAGAACAGAGGACTACAGAGTCCTCAGCTCTCAATGAAGCATCGGAACTGGCTCCAAGATGCAGGGAATGTCATGGAAGAGGGGGCAGAACAGAAGATGAAATGTTGTCTTATGATAATGGTGTGGCCATTGCAGTAACAAACACATATAACTCAAGGCTACAAGTATTAGACCTGTGCTAAGAAAACCAGGAGCCAGGAAACTAGTTGGGGAGAAAGTGGGTCATGACGGGTGTGAGGTAGATAAAGGCAATAATGTAGAGTGAATGTGATAACAGAACATCATATATGTATGAAACTGACCTAATTAATAACAGTAAAAAGACGCTGCGCCACCCAGTGGTGAAACTTCTCAAATCACTTCCTGGGTTTTGCACTGAGGCTTTTTGGGGATCAAAAACGTCTCTCTGGAGAAAAACCAGTGGTGAGCAAGAAATAAACTCAATCAGGCAGTGGTAATCGGTGATTGCTTGTAATTAGACCACACCCTTGGATTTAAAGCAGCTTTGAAGGTGGTACTGAGTCAAGATTTGTACACTGAGTTTGTTTGGCTTTGAAGTCCTTTTCAGTCTGGAACAGCTTATTCTTTAGTTTTTGTCAACTTGACACAAATTGGCAAAGAGGGAACCTCGATTGAAGAATTGTCTCTATCAGATTGGCTTGTGGGACTATCTGTGGGACATTTTCTTGATTAATGGTTGATGTTTCACAGTGTGGGACCGTGAAAGGATCGCTTGGTTTCTGGTGGACCACTGGTTAGAGATGGCCGGAGACCCTGCAAGGGATGGCATACATTTGCCACACTCCCAGATTCCAGGCTCCTGACATTCGGCCGAAGACCTCCATTGACCAGTGCCTTTCAGTCACGCAGGGCAACGGCCCTACCAGCCCCTCTACAGGTAGAGGGCGTGACTACAGGTCTCAGGGCCTCTAGAGATCTCCATATTAATGAGATACCTAAGGGCCAGAGGGCATAGCCAATTAAGCATTCCTTCCCAGACCCCCCTCACTCCTTATTTAACTCAGGTCTGCCCTGAGAAACGGTGTGTGTGTGGGTGGGTACAACCACATCCACATCCACTTTCCACCATGACAATAAACCTTTTAAAACCATGGACTTCCTCGTGTCTTTGGGGCCCCACTGTGGGACACCGTGGAGAAGGCTGATGAGCCTTTAACTAATGAGGCGCTGCTCCAGCCTAATCTCCTGCCTGGAAGACTTCTCTACATTCCCGCCTCCCATCTCAGAGGCCCACCAACTCAAACAAGCTAGCCGACCCAGCCAAGAGAGTGCCTAACCAAGAGTCTCCCACTCTGCGAGGGCGTCGCCAGAGCTCTCTCCCTCGTCCCTCTCAGCTGCCGGCTGGTCCAGCCCGGATGCCCTTTCATCTTGGTTTTTCCGTGGCTCCCAGGGGCATCTGGGAGCTCAAAGATAGAGACCACTGGTCTCCCGGTCAGCCGCTTCAGCCCGGAGATCCCCACTCAGGAGCTCTGCCCCCGTGGGACTTCAGACTGAGACCTCTCCACACCCAGACGGAGCCCTGAGGCTTCTCAGCCCAGCGTCCATCCGGCGCTGCGTGGAGTAAAAGTCAAATTCCAGGCTTCTTCTCCCCAGAGCCGCGGTTCCAGCAGCCTGGGGCAGCAGACACACAGGAACCACAACATAGCCCAAAAGGACCCACGCATGGTACAGCCCTGCAGCACAGCCCACTATGGATGGTGCCACCCTGAGCAAGTGTTCCTGGGTTGTATAAGAAATCAAACTGAACCAGCATGACTGCATATGCCTTTAATCCCAGCACTCAGAAGGCAGAGGTGGGAGGATCTCTATGAGTTCAAGGCCAGCCTGGACTACAGAATGAATTTAGTTTTAGGACAGCTATAACTACATAGTGAGACTGTGTCTTTAAAAAAAGAAAGAGAGAGAAAGAGAGAGACAGAAGAGACAGAGACAAGAAAGAAATAAAGAAATAAAGAAATAAAGAAATAAAGAAATAAATAAAGAAAGAAAGAAAGAAAGAAAGAAAGAAAGGAAAAGAAAGCCTACTAAGAAACAAACCAGCTTTCCATGTCAGTTCTTGCCTCCAACTTCCTACTGTGGCTTCCCTTCACGATGGACTACAAACTGCAAGCTGAAAGAAACTCCTCCCAAGTAGCTTTTGGTCATTGTTGAAGGTCAGCTTCAGCACCACAAGGTAAACTATGAAGGGCTGAGTGTGGAGTCTGCAGTTGTTTGTGCCCCCCCCCCCCCCCAGCAGTATAACACAACTGAGGGAAAAGTAAACGAGACACTAAAGGCCGACTGCTGCTTTTGTTTTATCCTTTCATATGCAGACTCTTAAAAATATGTGTACATAGAAGATGGAACTATTGGAGAGGCAATGGGGTCAGGTAGGCTATGTCCGTGTGAGGACTAGGAGAGGATAATGGGGGATGGATATAATCAGAGTATGTTACAGCATGGATGAGAATGAAACCCGTTATTTTGTACAATCACCACACACCAATAAAAACAGTCATAAACCAAATGCAGTAGAGCATTGGTGGTGGCCTGAGTTCTAGAAACTCCCGCGGTGAATCCTACCTTATCTGTGGCAGAAACCAGGAAAGTAAAGGAAGTCTAAATTCAACTCACAAAACACTGGAAACCCCAGAACCATCCCAAAGCCACTGAGGATATGATAGATAAATTGATGGAAAGAAAAATGGGAATTTCTGGGAACGTGATTACTAGGATTTCCTGTGTATCTCCACACAGACCTATGCAATACACCTACTCAGTACTACGCTGAATTATCCTAGTGTGCACAGTGTTTTTGTTTGTTTGTTTGTTTTGTTTTTTGTCTTTTGAGACAGGGTTTCTCTGTGTAGCCGTGGCTGTCCTGGAACTCACTCTGTAGACCAGGCTGGCCTCGAACTCAGAAATCCACCTGTCTCTGCCTCCCAAGTGCTGGGATTACAGGCGTGCGCCACCACCGCCTGGCGTGCACAGTGTTTCTACTATGGGTTTGTTTTTTTTTTTTTTAAGTTTTTAAGCCTCTTAAGACATGCAAGAAGTGTGGCAGATGTGACTTATTGGTAAAGAGCACTTGATGCTCTTTCAGAGGACTGGAGTTCAACCCACATCTGGAGTGGGGTGGGGGAATGTCTCACAACCACCTATAACTCCAGCTCCAAGGAATCTCTCTCTCTCTCTCTCTCTCTCTTTCTCTCTCTCTCTCTCTCACACACACACACACACACACACTCACACACACACACACACCAGTCTCCTTTGGTGCACATGAATACACAAGTAAGAAAAAAAAGAAAAATCTCTTTTAAAAAAGGTGCAAGGAGAAAATTAAGAGAAAGAAAATACACTATTGCCTGGATCACACTTTAAAAGATCCTGTGAGCAGCCTGGGAATTGGCAATTTCAAATGTGTCCTCTGATTTTAACATACGGGGAAGACTGTGACCCACTGGAATAATACTTAAGTTGGTTGTAAGCAATTCTGTTTGTGTCTGTCGTGTGCATTGACCAGGATCTCTAGTGGCTGTAGGTTTTAGCAAAAGTGCTATTAAACACTCCCTCAGAGACTAGCTGAAGGTGGTAAGTGCTCTTGTTTGTGACTATGCTTTTCTCTTTGTGACCACCAGAATGCCACCAGAATAGGGTGTCTTTGCTAATTATATAAATCAGTTTTAGCATCCATTAGTGATCCATGCTTGAATTAATCATTTCAAAGAAGTTTACAAACAAAATGATTCTCTGAGCCCACCATTCTGTGTTTGAAACTAGTTAGCACTCTTTTGTAAAGTGCTTCCTCTCATCAACTGGTATTGAATTAAAGTTCTACACAAGAGACAAGAAAAAGGCCTTGTTCCCTTTAATAATCAATTACCAGTGTAAGAAGTTAGTGTAACCATCACCTCCAACACTACCCAGGAGCTTTCCTTTCTTTGAGCATTGTTATGGTGCCTGGGTCTTCACTTTTTCCATGTATGATAATCAGTTACTGTTGTTCTTACTGATGCTCGAATCACCTCAGATTTGCCCAGTGGAAGCACACCTCCTCTCGGCTCATTTTGTCACATCAGCTTATTACTCCGAGCAGTTCTTCCCCTTCTGCCACAACATGTGCCCCAGTCTCATCTTGTGTTTTCTGTGACACAACTAACTAGGAGGCAGTCACTTCTTCTAGGAGTTTATTCTAGTGGAGAGCGGTGCTGGCAACCAAGAATTGGATGCCTATTACTTGCAGGGTACCATTTCATCTGTGCCCAGTGGGCAAAGCTAGGAAATGCATTTTTTAAAAAATCCTGAGATCAAGAGTGGGGAGATAGCTCTGTAATTAGTATGTTTGCCAGGCAAGTATAGAGATCCAAGCTCAGATTCCCAACATTCACACATAAGTGGGATATGGAAGTTTATACCTGTTAACCCCAGTGTTAGGAAGGGAGAGGGAGGAGACTTCCTAAAATTTGCTGGCAAACAACAACAACAACAACAACAAAAACCCAAACAAAACAAAACAAAACAAAACCTGCTGGCCATCTAGTGAATTCTAGGTGAATCAGTGAGAGCCAGGTTCAGTGTAAGCCAGTCTCAAAGATTAAGAGAGAGAAAGACTGAGGAAGATACTTGATGCCCTACTCTGACCTCCACATGCACATAAGCACAGATGCACATAAACTCATACACATACAAAATCTTTTAATAGTGGTGAGTTCAAATTTTAAATTCACATAATGGCATACAGCAGGGTAACATGCCTCTGATATTCGCTATTGGAAAGCCTGAGAAAGGAAGGTCACACCATGTGGCTTCTAGGGATCAAACATCACACTTGGCGTCAAGCATCTTTTCAGACTGGGCTGTCTTGCTGGCTCTTTCTTGGTTTAAATCACACGTTTGGAATAACCAGTAAATAACCCTGGAAAAAAACAAACGGTCAATGGAAGAAAATACAAAATTGTACAGATGACCGATTTCTATTTTATGTCCCCTGTTTAAACTTACCGAGAAGAATCTGGAAGGTCCCCCGACCTCCACCCCCGGAGCTATAAAGCGATAATTTAGTGTATTTCATCTTTGCAAAGAATTTATAAATGCTACTTAGAAATACTTTATAAATGCTATTTAGAAGTAAGAGACCAAAAGATCACAACTACACTTTCAAAATAGGTCACAAAACAACGTCTGATAGCTTCATAAAAGTGATTTGTTGCTGGCGGGGGAAAATAGCACAGCCCAGGAGAGCACACTCTCTGGGTAGCCGGCTGAGTTGAAGATAGGAGAGTCAACAGAGAAACCTCCACCGTGGCTAGAGCGGCTCCGACAGCGACAGGAACTTCCGGGGTGGGGCCCGTCCATTGCTTCCCTAGGTCGAATGTGGGCTTTCCGCACGGCTAGGATCGGCAGTCTTTTGGCTGCTACTCCCGTTACTTTAAGACGGTGCCTGAGATTGGGGGTGGCCATGGCCAAGAGCAAGTTTGAGTACGTGCGGGATTTTGAGGTTGACGACACATGCCTGCCGCACTGCTGGGTGGTGGTACGTCTGGACGGCCGGAATTTCCACCGGTGAGCTGGTGGGGCGGGAGACCGCGTGGTGCACTTGCACTTCCGGGAAGTGCGGGGCTCATGGTTACCAGGGTAACGCGGCAGCCAATGAGCACTCAGCATTGAGCGTCGCCTGAAGGCCTTGCTAAGATCATACCTTGCTGCTAAGTGGTTGAGATATTTAAAAGGAGCCGGGTACTGCAATAGATGAAAAGCCCGTGCTACTTTAGCAGAAATCAGTTTGCAAGAACTTTGTGTGTGTGTGTGTGTGTGTGTGTGTGTGTGTGTGTGTCCGGGAGGAGGGGATGACATTTCTCGGCCCACTACTTAAAAGCAACATGTGCAACTTTTTTGTTATTTCTGAGAGCTGTTAAGAGGCCTGCATACGCCTAACTGTGGTTAGGAGTTGACAGTATGTGCCTTTCTCATTGTCAGTTTCATATTACATGGACTGACAGCATCGCGGGGGGGGGGGAAGAGGGAGAGAATGTAAACCATTGGGAACTTGATTTTGATAAAGGGCTGTGCTATTAGTTATCATTTTATAGCCGTATAAGTACATAGAGCTATAGTAATGTGTATTGAGTACTTAGTAAAAGCCAGGCATAATTACATTTTGATCTCCTAATCATCAATACAACCTGACAAGGTAATTTATATTCCCAATTCACCCAGTAAGGTGAAACTTCACAGGGAAGTGGATTGAAGCCTACCAGTTGTATCCCTTTTTGTCCATTTGTCAAAGCAAGAAAGAAAAGCGTGCTATTTTTTTTTTCTGTGTGTGCCTATGCGTAAATAAGTGTAGGGTCGATGGTGAGTGTCACTCCTCAGAGCTATCCACCTTGTCTTTCTTGAGACAGGGTCTCTCATGGAACTTCTTTGGAACTCACCAAGTACTCTAGCCTGGTAGTCATCTAGCCCCAGGAATCCTGTCTCCATCTCTCCAGCACTGGGATTACAAGAAGGTGCCACCAATCCCCCACACTTTTTTTTTATGTTTCTGGGCCAGAACTTGGTCCTGACAAATGGTTTACCTACCAAGCTATTTCTCAATCTCTTCTAACTGCCTCTGTTGATAGTGTTGGCAATGACAGACTCTCCTCGCTTGTGCCCTTCTCTTTCCTCCATGAAGGTTTGCTGAGAAGCACAGCTTTGCCAAACCTAATGACAGCCGAGCACTCCATCTGATGACCAAATGTGCCCAGACGGTGATGGAGGAGCTGGAGGACATTGTGATTGCATATGGCCAGAGCGATGAGTATAGCTTTGTGTTCCGGAAGAAAAGCAACTGGTTCAAAAGAAGAGCCAGGTGAGTTTCAAAACCAGCCTCCTGCTAGGATGTTTTCTCTCGTTCTCTGTTCTTCTGTTTATCATGACAACAGCCAAGGTCGTAAAGATCGTGGGTGATGCTGCTTTTACAGAGTGCACATGTCTTATTTTGACTGTTTCCTTCTAATGCTATCTGAGAATTCTTGTGCTGTCTATATTTTTAAGATGCTTTCTTTACCTAATTCCTTCCCTTCTGTATCCCATCAGTCCAGCTTCCAGACTGACCTATTGAATATTTAGACTATAAACAGAGACTAGAAAAATATAGAATATTAGTGATTTGTGGGTAGCTTTGCCAGGTTTACTCTTTCCATGCATTAAAGTATTAAACTTTTTAACGATATATCTGATCGGATACATCTGATAATGAATTTGGTAGTACAGTGAAAGTCTTAGAGGAATCAAATTATATGATGAATTGGTATGTTTTCAAAATAATGGTTCCCTTTTTTCCAAGACTGAAAACAATTACCACACTCACAAAACAACAATAACAAAATCTTGATCTATAAAAGTAGACCACATCCTATGGAGAAACACTTGGTGTTAGTGAATGTGCTGGCTAGTTTTATGTCTGTTTGACACAAGCTAAAATCACCTGAGAGGCAGGAACCTCAATTAAGACAATGCCTCCGTAAGATCTGACTGTGGGGCATTTTCTAAATTAGTGATTGGTGGGGGAGGGCCCAGCTTATTGTAGGTGGTGCCTTCCTTGGGCTGGTGGTCCTGGGTTCTTTAAGAAAGCAGACTGAGCAAGTCAGTAAACAGCACCCCTTCATGGCCTCTGCATCAGTTTCTGCCTTCAGGAACCTGCTCTGTTTGAGTTCCTGTCCTGACTTCCTTCAGTGATGAACAGCATGTGAAAGTGTAAGCCAAATAAACCCTTTCCTCCCCAACTTACTTTTGGTCATGGTGCTTCATCACAGAAATAGTAATTCTAAAACAGTGAATATCTTAAGTAGAGGCTGGCTAAATACAAAACATACAGCCAAAATATTAAAATTTTTCTTAGCTGAATATAGTTTATCTTCTGGCTGACTGGGAGGTTTGTAATCTCTCTGTTGTATCCGCAGGTCCTATCTTGGCATGGAATTAATACCAAATACTTTCTCTTTTCTTGTTCCACCCAATGTGTCTTGCAAGTAAGTTCATGACTCTCGTGGCCTCCCAGTTCGCTTCCAGTTATGTGTTTTACTGGCGGGATTACTTTGAGGACCAGCCCCTTCTGTATCCCCCAGGATTTGACGGAAGAGTCGTGTTGTATCCTAGCAACCAGACTTTGAAGGACTACCTCAGTTGGAGACAAGCAGACTGTAAGTGGTACCAAGTACACAGTTTGAGTCAAACTAGCAAACCTGTGCATTAAAGCCATGGATTTGACAAAAGTTTGGCTCATTGGTATGTTGCTTGGAGTCAAGTGTCTTGTAAAAAATGTTTTTTGTTTTTTTTTTAATTCAATAGTCAATAGTCAATAGTCAATCCTGCCTTAACTCTGTAAGACCTCTGTTAGAGTGTGTGGACTACCACACTAAGCTGTCTCTCATACACTAATTAGTTAACAATATTGAAAAAGTTAGGAGATTTTTTATGGGAATATTATCTGTAATTGTTTGCTCTGTATGTATACGGGTGTGTACACATATGCATGTTTGTGTATGAGTGTACATGTACATGCATGTGCTTATGTGTGATTGCCTGTACAAGTGTTACAGAGCCAGAGGAAGAGATGGACTGTCTTGCTCCATCACTTGCTCTGCCTTATTCCCTGACTGAACCTCGAGCAAGTCTGGCAGCTGGCAAGCCCCAGAGATCCTCTTAGAACAGCTCTGGGGTTCCAGGTGCATGTGGCTATGTCCGGCTTCTTACACGGGTACTGGGATCCAATCTTGGGTCCTCCAGCCTGCACACCAAGAGCTCTTATCCGTTTAGCCGTTATTTCTTTGGCCCATGTTTGCTTTTTAAATTTGGAAGATAAGGCAGTCCTGCATTTCCACTCCATTTACACAGAGCCTGCGTGGTAGCAGCTCCCTTTTTGCTTTGCGACTCACTGATGAAGTCATAAGCTGCAGAGTCCCTGCTATTCCCTGCCCTTCCCCTGGAGTTACCTTGGCAACTGTTTCTAGGATGAACACCTAAGCCAGCATATTTGCATTAGGTATTACTGAGATGACCATGGGAAGTTGTTTTCAGGAAGTTTACATGCCTACCCCTTTCCCCTGTCTGTTCCCTGTAGGCAGACTGGGCAGCCACTAAATGTCTCTCAGATTTTTGTATTTTAAGGTGGAGAGAAGCTGGGTTGTGGTATTCCTGGAAACATAAATAGTCTCTATATAAAACAAAAATGAATATACTATAATATATAATATTTATAATGTAGTATATAATGCATATATATTTAATATATAATACATTTATAAGAATAAGATTCAGTATACATAAGTGTCATTTTGTTTCTCTCACAGGTCACATCAATAATCTTTATAATACAGTTTTCTGGGCCCTTATCCAGCAGTCTGGACTAACACCAGTCCAAGCCCAGCAGAGATTAAAGGTATAAAGATCCTACAACACAAACACAGTTGAGGACATTTGCTCTGGTCTCTCATAGAACTTCTGTAATGTTCCTTTTGGTTCCTTAGCTTCTTTTACAGCTCTCTTTTGAAAGGATGTAAAGATCTCAGTAGCAGAAGCTCTTGCCTTGCTTGTGGTCAGCAGAGTTGGTTATTACTTCTCCTGGGGCCGCTCTGCTAGCATGCTTACCCTTGGCTGCGATTGCGTCTTGGCTCCGCCCCTCTTTAGAAGGTGCATGCACTCTTCTTCTTAGCCCCCGGAAGTCCACTTCTCTCATGCCCTGTCTTATTGGGCTCCTGTTTTAAATCCCTGAATAAAATGAGTCAGTGCTGAGAGTCGCATAACTGTACTCTGTGTATCTCTGCTTTAGTAAAGTTTAGGATAATAGTTCTTACCTCATAGGCTTATAGAAAGTATATGCCTTGATGTGTTAAAACTCACAGAGCTATAAGTGCTGAGTAAGTGCTGCCTTCTTTGATAACACTGCCACCTGTGGGATGGTTAATTCTTAAGTGAGGTGAGGTACTGTGACAGGTGCTGATACAGCATCTTCTACATTGTGATTACTGAGGTGGTTATGGTCTGTATTAATAGTATCAATGATGAAGACTCACATATTAACACCGGTGAGAATGCCAGCAGTCATGTCCAGGTAGAGCCAAAATCAGATTGTGCTTCCTCTTAGAAAAGTAAAGACAGTTGGGCAGTGGTAGCACACGCCTTTATTCCCAGCCCTTGGGGGTCGGAAGTCAGGGACACAGGCAGGCAGATCTCTTGAGTTCAGGCTAGGCTAGTCTACACAGAGCGAGTTCCAGAACAGCCAGGGTTATGTAGAGAAACCCTGTCTTGAACAAAACAAAGCAAATAGAGTAAAGATAGCCTTCATCTACTTTTTCTTCTCAAGAATGGAGATGACATTGTGATCAAGTGAGAAATATCAACACCGAGTTGATATGCACACAGGGTTGTTCTTTCCTGTTAGCTTCTACTAACCCCACACAGCCTGGTCAGTGCAGCCAGGGTTTGCAGCAGGGATTTCATGATTGTAGACACCTAGATTAGAATATTAGGCACTGAGGTGTAGCTCAGAAGTAGAGTGATCTGAATTTTCATTAAAATGAGATTCATTA